ATCGTCACCTTCCCCACCCCCCCCATTAGAAGTTAGCCATTGTCTTCCTAATCCTCTCTTTTTTATTGCCCCTACCCCCAGAGCCTTGGGTTCAGCCTCCAGATATTTCTGTGCTCTTTGGTGATTCTGCTGGAAGCTGACAGCGACCAGAGGGCTCTGCGCCGGGGTGGTGTCCTCCTTGACGACTTCCTCTGGGACAGTGACATGAAGAAAGAAAAAAAGAGAAAAACTCCTGTAAGTTCATGAAACTTTGTTGTTAACAGAAACAGCCAGTGGAGAACATGCTGCTGCAGAGGAGGCTGAAGTGGTGAACAGAACAGACACATCTGGACTCCATCAAACCAGACAAACAACACTGGTCTCTGTGCCGCTGACCCTCACTGTCCACATGGAAATATCTGGAATATTAGCTTTAACATATTTGTTTCTTTTTACCTTCCATGATATCAGTCTATGGGAGAGGATTTCTTTTTCCTCTCTTTCTTCCAGGTTCTGCTTCTCCACCAAATGCTGAGCTGCTGCAGCCTAAAGTTTTGCGAAACACTTGAAGAAGAAGACGGAAAAAGTCCCGCCCTACGTCCTCCACTGCAACCTGATTCCTACGGCTCACTTCCTCTCTGCCTCTTTGCTAGACTGATAGGGATTCTAATGGTCTTGGTGAAATGACTTGTGCTGGAACTTCAATTGTGTTGGAAAATGTTTCACCTACATTTCATTCAAACAAATGTGCAATTGAAAGAGACCCTGGAAAATCTTTAAAAATCTACAGGGGAATAATAAAAGAAAGAATATTTTAAAAACAGAGAATTGTTTGTTCTGTAAGATACAAACCAAGCAAGATATTTTGCTAATGTTATCGTTTATCATTGTAAGAAGTTTAAAGACAACTTCAACTGGGTGCATTTTTATTGGTCTATTTTAATATGTTATTCCAACAGATAACAGTTTTGGAGATTTTTTCTGCCGGTTTGTTTGTTTAATTTGTGCTGATCTTTTCCTTTTTAACTAAGAAGCAGAAACTAGTGAAACAGCTGCCTTTAGAGAACATCTGTCTGGAAACTGATTCACCAGCTCTGGCTCCAGAAAAACAGGTGAGATATTTTCCTCTTCGACCCATTTTTAAATTAAAAGATGTTTCCAAAAATGACAACACGTACCTCTAGTATATTCAATTAAAATCTGCTCAAGTTTTTTATATATATTATTTTTAAAAACATGAAATATGAAACATGCTGCCGCTGATGAAACCTGTTCTTTTATCACCATTTGTGACATTCTAGAACAAATAAAGATGACGAAACACGATTTCACACAGGTGTTGTGTATTTCTCGTGTGTGTGTGATGGATTAGAGTCCTTCATCCACACTGTGTCATGTCACGTACACAGCAGCTCGGTGTCAACAGTCGTTCTGTCTTTCTTTTCCACACGTTCACGCCATTGTTGGACAAACGTTTGCGACGTGACGCTGATTTAAAATGTATATCACTGTCAGTCTGAGCTCAGTGCAGCAGTGAAACCCCACCACTGATGTCACTGTTGTTGACCTTTATAATAACTGATGATTTTTAACAGGGTCTGGATCATTTACAGTAGATGATATTGGTATATTAATACAATAAATTTAAAAATACTTATGCTTTTCTATTAAATTTACAGTCAGTCTTGGTCAAAAACCTTTAGCATAAATATTATAAACAAATGAAACATAAAATATTTTTAATTGCAATGTGTAATATAAAATAGATAAAACATATACCTAATTTTCTATAATTTGATTCGTATTAAAAGTATATTTATTATTATTAAGAGTAATCTTTTAAATGACGTAAAATAAATCTGCAACATTTTCTAAAAAAATGTATTTGAAGCAGTCACAATTAAATCTTTAAGAAAAAGACAAATACATGTAAAAACATTCTATCGAGCTTTCATTTTGTACTTTGTTTTAAATTATTATTTATTATAAAATGTAACGATGTTGTGTCGTGCATTGTTTTTGAATCATATTTCATGTCATGTCATTTTTCCTACATCGTGTGTGAACAAATCCGAGGTTTCTCGAACGGCTCACTGGTGTGTACTTCACGGACCGCCCTGACACGTCAGCCTCGCCTCTCCCGCGCCTCAGCAGCGACTGACAGCGTGATTGACCACTGAATCTCACCGTCCGGGTCCAGACCAGCGGCTGAACTTTACCTCATTGGCTGCTGGTTTTTAAACTACCCTCGGGGGTGGCTTTGGGGGCAGAATCTGGGTGTCCTTCAGCATTCTGTCAGCTACTCATCTTCGAGTATTTATGTTGACTATAAAAACTAAACTTTTTTATTTCAACAATAAGGAGTGTTTTTGTTCAGCCGTTGAACCCATGTCTGTAGGAGCTGACTGGAACTGCCCGCTGGTACAGGTACAGGTTTGAATCTTCGTGTCAGTTCACTGTGGCTTCACCTAATTCCTAAATAGTTAAAGTCACTTTTATGATTCGCGGTTTGTTTTTGAGATGAACTACCTACCTCTGTCTAAGTGTTGAGTTTAGGTAATGTTTGCAACACTCTCCGAGTGTTAGGCTGTGGTGGAGTTGGTATGTTGAGGATGAACTGTTTGCTGCTTTAGAACATCAGTAACAGGGGCGTCTTAAAGGTTTTTGGGGGCGCCGGCTTGGAGGTCGGAAAGGGGCCTCAAGATTACAACTTTTCAGCCACACTAAAATTTGAAACTACCAAACATATTCTGTTCTGTGCAGTTTTAAAAATCCAGCTGTTTTGAAATGTTCCTTTACATTTTAGAAAAATGACTTAAATAATAATTTAATCAACAGACGTATTTAGCCCTTGAATTTACAATATTTTCATTATTTTAAAATAAGCATTTTCTGCCCTTCAGGGTATTGCAAGAAATAACTTGTATGTACGGGTAAATGATATTTGTGAACGTTTTGTTAAATTTTTTTGCCATATTTCATGTGCAACGATGCCTCCTAAAGAGTTGATCTATAAGTATATAATATAATAACTAACGCTTCCCTACTTTGCGAGTTTTAGCCTATTGCGGAACGTAACCTCTGCGATAGATGAAGGACCTCTGTATATTCCTTCACACAGACTGGTTGTATATGTTGTCTGCAGTTTAATGTCTGTGTTAAATCAGGCGTCAACTCTGTGTCTCGACTACGATGCTGAGACAAACAAAAGGTTTCATCTCATCTGTCTTTAACCTAAAGCCCTTGACTCAGCAGGTCTGAGTCTCTGGTCACAATGACAGCAGACTCCGTGGTCAGGAGGGGTCTGACCTGGATGAAGCAGGCGGCGGCCACAGCTCCAGCGGGCGTCCTGCCCCGCATCAGGAACCACAGGCTGGTCAACTTCCATCAGGCTGCCAGATCAGGACGGGTGAGCGGTCAGCTGTGTCTCTGTGTGAGTGGCTGTGGAGGTTCACAGACCAAATCCAAACCACAGCTGTGGAGCTGGGACACTGAGTTAAATTCCAAATACCTGCTAATTCTGACTAATGAATTCTATCCAAAATAAGAGTTTTAAAATTATCTCAGTGATGGAAATAACAATGACCACTAACGCTTTCTGAATAAATAGCCAGAAAAACTCTACTCTGACTTTTTTTTTGGGAATACTTAACTCTACTCTGACTTTTTTTTTGGGAAGTTTTATTTGAACTTAAATTCCATGGCTATGAGCAAACTGTGCAAGAAAGATATTTCTTATCTCTGCAGTATAAACATCACTATCACCGCACCTCAAACATGGTGCTGTATATTAAACCGAAAATATGTCTGTATGTGTATATATATATTTACATATATGTATATATTTATATACATACAAATATTTATTCATGAATGGAATAGTTGCTGTTTTACTGTGAGTTTTCTGATAAATTAAGATTTAAAAGGTCAGAGATGAAAATTGAATGTATTTATTTGCATTGAAAAATTGTATCATTTGATAAACACTTGACAAATATTTGTAATTACATCCCAGTCTGTGTTCTTCTAATTCCACTCATGGACCGTAGTCATACCTACTGTAATACTTCAACAGTCTGAGGAAGATGAACCAGGAGGACTGTGACGTTCAGTTGGTTCAGTCTTTGTCGTTGTCTGTTGGTCAGGTTCAGTCCTCAGTAGATGGACTTTTATCAGTTTGTTTGTCACTAAACAACTCTTTAACTTCCTCTTCCTCCTGTTTCTTCTTCATCCAGGGCATGTTGAGCCAACACCAGGGGGCCTGCGTCCACAGAGCCACCGCTCTAAAGACTCTGTGCAGGGATCCGACCGTGGCAGGGTTTTTTAGCACCTGTGTTGTCGGAGGTTCACACGCTGCTAACAGGAAACATCTCCTGTACCACAGAGACCGGACCGCTGGTCGTCTGTTCTCTGGACACTCCAGATTATTGAACCAGGACAATTCCACAGTGGGACGTTTGACGTCGGAGGACGTCAGTAAAGCAAGGAACGTCAAAAAGACAGACTTCAAGCAACATAAACAAGTGGTAGATTATTCAATATACTTTTCCACACTTTTGGTTTTTATTCTCATTATTGTTAATAATGACAAATTTAAAGAGGATTTCTGTCCTTTTTCTTTTTTTTTACCTTAAATCTGTCTGGGTTTTTTTTTATTTCAGCTCAGTGAAAAAGCCAGGGAGAGTAAGGTTCCAGTGACACGGATTGGAAGACTGGTGTCTTTTGGAGGTACTTTTTTAAAAAAAATTCTTATTTTACCCCTAATTTTTGTCTTGAAGTATCGTGGCATTGATCGTCCAGAAATTGCTCATCGTGGAGACTGCAGAGGTCCAGTTGTTAGACAGTCCAATCAGAACAGAGTTTCCATTTATTCTGCACGATCATCTCTAGTGTTGTGAGTTGCAGCGAGCTGGAAAGGTGTAATCAAGGTGTTCTGTAGCGCCCCCTTTTTGCAGATAGGACTATTGCCTGTCAGTTACAGGGAAATAAAATCAGTGGAATTCTCACTGTGGCACATATAAAGAAAAATATGATTTTCTTTTTTTTTTTACCCCTTTCTGTAATCAGCTCCACAGCCCACTGGAGGGGCCCAGCCCCCACTTTGGGAACCCCTGTGGTTGTTATAACTACTTAGAGCAGATAACTGGATTTGTGACCTTGAGCTCCGACTGTGACCTCTGGGTCTCGACGCCTGTGTTTTCGGACCATGTGTGAGTCCTGAGAAAGTGCAAGCTTGGCACAAACGTATGGAATCAAGCACAGCAGCGTGTTGTAAACACAAACATCTGACTGACGCCTGTTTGAGGTCAAGGAGACTGTCCTTTATTTATTCATGTTTAAAGATGTCTGTCTTTCTAAGAGAGTCAGGTTTATGTTTACTGTCGATACAAGCTGAAACTCTCCATTGTATTCTTGAAATCGAAATATTGTGTTGAAATCACTTCCTTCCTCGAAGTTGGTTTCACATGCAGTTTTTTATACCAGTGAAGTTGTATTTGTTAGAAACATTGTTTAACTTTAACTTTGCAGCGTTCCTCAGATCAGGGACTTCGTATCCTTGTGATAGTCCAACTAAAAAGTAGCAGCTCTTCTTTGGTTGAATGGTTTTGGGGTGTATTTTTGCCCTGACCTCTGGATTATTCTCCCCTCTAGCTGCTGATGACTGGTATCACTTCCTTTTGTTGTTGATCTTGTTATCAGGTGAAAAGGGAAGGAAGTAGGACAGAGTCTCTCTGCTCCAAAGTCTGTCAATCATTGGTTACGTTTTTCCACAGGTCTGGCCGTAGGGCTGGGGATCGGAGCCATCGCTCAGATGATGAAGAAGAACTTTAAACCACAGGAAGGTGATGAAGAGGATGGTGATGATGGTGATGTTTGTGGCTTTGTCTGTTGACTAGATGTGATGAGTTTTAATCATTCAGATTAAATGGTTGTATTCCACCCTGGTGTCTTAGAGGTCATAGGTCATCTGTTGAGGTTTAATTGAAACATTGATCTTCAAAACAGCATGAAAGCCAGTTCTCTTCTCCCTTGTTGTGAAAGTTAAAATAGTCAATTAGGTTAAATTACACAAGTATTAATTACATCATATTAAAATACTCCATCTGAATATACAGCTGTGTCTCTGCTACAATATTGACTTTTTTTTTCTTTAATTGAAGATAACAAAAAGAAAGCCATTCTGGATTCCAGCTCGTTTCTCTCTGAAGCCAATGCTGAAAGAATCGTGCGGACGCTCTGCAAAGTCCGAGGTGCTGCTCTGAAACTGGGCCAGATGCTGAGTATTCAAGGTGAAGTATGTTCTCATGTCAAATATTACTACAGGTTTTTGACCCTGTCTTATAGGATGTGTTTTTATTTAGAACTCACAGAAGAGTCTGATCACAGCGTCAGGTTTCATCACAACACTTTTTAACATCTGTGACTCAGACTTAATGGAAAAGACCAGCAGGGAAATGTCACCTCTGAAAATAACCCTAATCATAAGCCATGAGATAAACACAATAGGTTCAATTCCAGCTGAGCTACAGTAGGAAACAGAGCCTGACACTGACACACCCGTGACTGCCTTTGACTGAACAGCTGAGCTGCAGAGATGTGTCTGTTGGCCTCTGCTCCACTTGGTGTCAGTCACCGACAATGACTTGAACTGGAGTCAAAGAGTTGAGTTTGTTTTGGCAGACGGAGACCTGGAAATACTTTCAAAAGTCACAGCCACATACAGTACAGGACGTCCACACGGTTCTGTGAAGAATATGTGATTATTATCAGTCAACCTAAATATTACATGAATTAGTTAAATGGTAGAAAACAGCCATTTATTGAAGGTAACATTGTGCTGTGGCTGGTAATCTGGTTTCAAAATGCTACACTTTCAGCAAAATACAGCATGAGCAGCTACTGTGTTGGATGGAAACAGCATGAATGAGTGAATTATTTCAAGAAATGTTTCCTCAGGACATCAGTGAAATCAGTGACCTGTGATCTGACAACGTTATAGTCAAAACCCTGTTCATCTTTGTCACTCCTCTGCTTCAGACGATGCTTTCATTAACCCTCAGTTGGCCAAAGTCTTTGAGCGTGTTCGTCAGAGTGCAGACTTCATGCCGACCAAGCAGATGATGGTACAGTGTGTCCTGATCGACCCCTGTCCCAGTGAAGCAGTGAAGTCTTTACTGAACGTCTGTCTTTATAGAGAGTCATCAGCAGCGACCTGGGCCCAGACTGGAGGGAACGGCTGCAGGACTTCGAGGAAAAGCCGTTTGCTGCCGCATCCATCGGACAGGTGCATCTTGGGAGGCTGAAGGACGGCAGAGAGGTGGCCATGAAGATCCAGGTGAGTGAGTAAGTGACTGACTGACTGACTGACTGACTGACTGACTGACTGACTGGGTGAGTGTAGTACTTCCAAAGTGACAGAGGTCAAATCCACCCTGTGATGAAGCACCGTTGACTTTTTCCTCTCAGTATCCTGGTGTGGCCAAAAGTATCAACAGTGACGTGAACAACATCATGGCAGTCCTGAGTTTGAGCAACGCTCTGCCTGAAGGTAAACGTGCACCGGAGATTTGATCGTTTCTCTGTTATCAGCTGCTTCTGTCTGATTCCTCTGACCTCTACAGTGAAAACCTGGAATGTCCTAATGTCCAACCTTTCATTTATGGTCCAACATCTGCTCTGGTTCCCAGGTTTGTTCCCTGAGCATCTGATCCAGGTCATGAGTCGGGAGCTGGCTCTGGAGTGTGATTACATAAGAGAAGCCCAGTGTGCCAGGAACTTCCAGTGAGTGTTCACTTTTATTTACTTTAGATGGACATCTGACTCTTTTTTTTGTTTTGTTTTTTTCTGCTGCCTGTGTAGTTTTTCTCCCCTGATTGTAGTATATTATTATATAATATTTCCCGATGTTAGTTGCCTCTGTATTTATCACACATCCCAGACTTCCATGCTGCTGAACTTTTCTATTATATTTTAATTTTTGTAGTACGGAAAAGATGCAGGAAGACAATGATGTCATTTACTGTAGGTGTTCATTAAACCCACTCGACTATTCTATGTCTCTCTCTCTCTCTCTCTATGGTTACTATATGAAAGAAAAACTTTATTTAAAAAATTTAATTCAACCCCATTGTGGAATTGTATCTAATCTGAGAGAATAAGTAACTAATTTCAACACTTGCGAGAAAAAAGTCGCTTTGCAGCTTGTTTCTGATGCCCCCTAGTGGCCTTTGTGACTTTTTTATGTTCTTTAAAACTGAGATTTCCCGATGTTAGTTGCCTCTGTATTCTATCCAGTTGATTTAAAATGAGTTAAACATTGACCTCAGACCTGACGTTGAAGGTGTGGATATTTTGAACTAAACCTTAAACCAGGAGCAGTGGATCCTACTGAAGGTTTGAGACAGTGTTGACGGCTGGCTTAAAGCACTCAGCCCTGCCTGGGATTTGAACCAGCAGTCCTCTAATTACATCATGTGAAATAAGAGAGACTTTTACAACTCCTCAGCTGTAGATAAAAACTTCAGGGCTGTTAAAGCAGGAAGCTGCTAATATTAGCTTAGCAGAATATTATAACAACCTCGTGAGTATATTATTTATAGCTAAAATAGCCGAGATTACAAACCTCTGTTGTTTGTTTGTTTGTTTGTTTGTGTGTTTGCAGGCAGCTGCTGAAAGGTCACCCCTTCTTCTACGTCCCTGATGTGATTGATGATCTGAGCAGCCGACATGTCCTCACCACCACGCTGGTGCCTGGTGTCCCTCTGGACAAGCTCACCGAGCTCTCGCAGGACCTCAGGAATGAGGTAAGAATGAGACACGTCCTGGAAACCCTGGAAAGTAGGGATCCAAATTTTCCAGTCATGTTGAACCAAAAGTAAAATGAGGGTGCAGTGATTCCTAATTTCCTGGAAATGATACTGTAAGCATTTCCAGGAAATTAGGAATCACTGCACCCTCATTTTGTCCGGTTTAATTAATTGTGTGCAAAAAGTTTGTTCTGTCATGTCGTCTCTAGAGGGTGCTGTTGCACATACTGGTGTGACAACTGATTCTTTTTCAGTATTTTAGCTAACATGTTTTTTTACTTTTGGTCTCGTCAGATTTGTGAACAGATCCTGATTCTGTGCCTCAGGGAACTGTTTGAGTTCAGATACATGCAGACGGATCCAAACTGGTCCAACTTCTTCTTTGATCATCAGAGACACAAGGTCAGATTTGTTTTTTTTGTTGGTTTTTTATGTACCTGCCTATGAACAGTTTTTCAAGCATTTTATTTAAAGAAAATCTGTTTTTCTTACTTCCTGTCTTCAGGTGGCGCTGTTGGATTTTGGAGCCACACGAGGTTTTGACAAGAGTTTCACTGACAACTATATCGAGGTACGACGGTACTTTTCAAAGTTGGATTAGTATTTTACATTTGTACAGGTTGCAGTATTATGTAGTTGATACTATTTGAAAATTTAGAAAAATGCAGTCACAGTTGTTATCACGTAAATAAAAATAGTCTTTATTATTATAGTTTTTGTATAATAACAAACTACCATGATCATGATCATGTAATATTACTACATTACTTCAAAAATGACCAAACCTTTTTTTTTTTAATTTTAAATGTATGGATTTAGGTTTAAATCCACCTTCCACCGTCCACACCCAACCCCAGCTAGTGCCAGGTGTAACAACTGTACCACACCCAATGAAGAGAAAGTCTGAAAAGTCTTTTTTATCATGACTACTTTCTCTGAGCAGATCATTAAGGCGGCTGCAGACCGAGACAGAGACGGCGTCCTACAGAAATCCAGAGAGATGAAGTTTCTCACAGGATATGAGACCAAGGTAAATAAACACACACAGACATCAACATTACAGGGTTGGACACCTCATCTTCAAGTCAAGGACGTGCCGGAGGGAACGCAGTCAGTCAGGGGCCAACAGTTGTACAAATGTAAGGCTGACCTCTACTGGTTGCCAGAGGAAAGTGCAAAAAATAAAAAGTGTAATTTAAACTTCTAAATGTTTTTTATATAAACACAATGCATATATACAGTGTGTTTATTTATATATATATATATATGTATATATATATATTTAATAATGTAGTATTATATTTATGTCAACTTTCAACATTCTGTTTTAGTCGATGGAAAACGCACACGTGGACGCTGTGATGATCCTGGGCGAGGCCTTCTCCTCCTCAGAGCCCTTTGACTTCGGACACCAGAGCACCACCGAGCGCATCCACAGCCTCATCCCAGTGATGCTGAGGGAGCGGCTGACGCCTCCTCCTGAGGAGACCTACTCCCTCCACAGGAAGATGGGCGGCTCCTTCCTCATCTGCTCTAAGCTCAAAGCTCAGATCGCCTGTAAGAACATGTTCCAGGAGGCCTACATGAACTACTGGAAAGACGGAGGACGGGTCGAAGCAGTAGCACGAGGGTAAGAAGGGTTTTAAAATAAAACAAACAAACAAAAAATCGACATTTTACTGATGTTTGACCTTTGACCTATAAACTTTGTCTCCTGTGAAGAGATGTTTAGAACTTGTCCAGATCATTACCATCATATTGTTAGATTTTCTTTGTCTTGCCCCAAAGTAGCAAAGAGAAGATAAAAACAAAGATTAATGCAAAAACTTTTTAAAGAAACGTATTAATTATGAAAACTGCCATTTTATTATCCACATGCTAATGGTTACAACATATCTCATCTGGACCAGGACTTTACTGAAGACTGACTATATATCCAAATGATTTGTGTCTATTTGTACTGTTTAGTGTTTTCTATGACATGTACATCATGATGCTTAATGGTTTTTGAAAAACTGCATTTAATGTGACATCCAGGATTCTCAGTTTTAAATAAACTGGCCCTGATTTTGCATAAAAAAATCTGCTTAAATGCACGCAATTTAATTTATTATATATATTTGTTATTTATTGACTTTTTAAATTTTAAAACCACAAAAACTCCCAGAAGTCCTGTAAATTATTATTTTTGGCTCAAGATTCAACATTCAGTACAAAATGATTTTGCACAAACTTGATGGAAAGACCTTACTGTCTTAAAACTTTTAAATTAGATTTATAGAATCTTCGTAGATCCTTCAAATATTGAATGTGTAAAACCACAGCTAAAGCAAGAAAGAGAGTCACAAAATAAGAAATTAAATATATTATATACTGTGAATATATGTGTATATATATATATATACAGTATATATGTGTGTGTGTGTATATATATACATACACATTTCACACAATCTACATTCACAATTGTGTGTGAATAAACAAATTAGCTGTAAATAAATAGGGGATTGTTGGTAGTTTGTAGTTGACTGGCCATTGGAAAAGGAAAAGGTACAAGTTTATACATGTTAGTAATTAAACCAGATGTCAGGTGTTTTATATTAAACTTTGTTTAGTTAAAACATACAGAACAATCCAACTGAGAGTCAGAATCTCTTCGAGGTTCTGGCCAGGTCAGTATCTGTCTATGACACCCTGCAGTACCTCTGTCTGCCAGGGGTCACAGTAAAAGACTTCAATATTAAATAAGCTAGAGCAGTGGTTCTCAAACTCTGGTACTCAAGCGCTCTCTAGTGGTACGTGGGGAAAATTCATAATTTCACCTTTACATTTTCAGTTGAATAAATCTGAAACATACCATGCACAATTAATACAACATTTAAACTTAAACATCTTTCTAAACATCTCTCCTGTGGTGGAAGCTAACAGTGAAGGCCTCTGCTGCTGTATTCTAATGTTGGTCATCATGGTGGGACTCAGAGAGGTCAAGGTTTTCTCAGGTGGGACAGAGTAGAAAAAGTTGGAGAACCACTGGTCTAGAGAGATGAAAGTAGGTTTATTCAGTCAGAGAAGCTCCACCTCTAGTGGGCGTCATCTTCTCAAGTGGAATCACCTGGTGAGGAGAACATTGCTCATGTGAAAGGTTGGTGGAGGCTGGTTGAAGAAGTGTTTGTGTTTTGGCCACAGACGACAGAAGTGAAAGATGTCGTCAGTGTTAACCTGGACTGAGGTAATCTAACTGAGACATTGACTCTTAGCATGTGTGACTAAAGTGTACGGTGTGTCTGACCTGCTCGATGCCATCCAAAGGTCATGGTGTGGGTTGGTGGTCTGGATGAGATCCACAGAGAGAAGATGCTGATCAAGATGCTGCCGAAGTCGGTGAGAAGGTGGGCCGCGTCAGTCATGATGGCCAGACTGTGGGCAGCATATCCACCTACAGGTGAGGGAATGACACTACATATGAATAACTGTCTGATAGTTGCTAACATTAGCGTCACATTAGCTTTAGTTAGCATTTCTGTGTCTTGTGGGAATGACAAGCAACGTTCAAACAAACGATCTAAACTGAGGTGTAAAAATATTAGAGTCCAGTTACCTAACTTTTTACAGCAATCTTAAGCAGTGTGTTATTAGGTTCATAGATTCAAGCACTACGGTAGAGCAGCAGTGACGTAACATCAATTAATCAGTAAACAACATTCGTTAACAATAAATTGCACCGGTGCAGTACCATAAATGTGCAGCCAGAGGGCAGGGAATTCACGTTGAATCGAGTGGCTGTGTGACGTCTTTGTGACGTTCATGTATGTGACGACCAGAATACACCATAACGTGTCATACATTAAAATATAAATCATCATAATTTGGAGGAAAGTAGCTTCCGCTTTATCTTGCTCCTAACTTCTTCGGAACTTCTGGGCCGCTAGAAACAGCGCCCAGTCAGTGCAGCAGCCGCAGCCACCTGCTGACCTGTTGCTGACGTCAGATATGCACAAAGCAACAGAAATGTATCCACTCATCAAAAGATGTGATTAATTTGTTGCCCCAAGCCGAGTCTCTCGGTGACGGAGTGACTATCTGCACCTCCTCTTGTCTCTAAAAGTATGTAAATATACTTAAGTCATTTGTTTACAGGTTCAGTTTAAAATGCAGAACGCGTGTTTGTGCGATATATGCTGTTTGTGTTTTTGTGTTAGAATACATGACCTTTTTAATACTGGCATTGAATCACTGACGGCACCATTGTACTGGGATACTACTGTGAAACTGGCCTGGTGCGGCTCAGCCCCACCTTAGTACTGAGTGCTGCGAGGTTGGGTGTGGACAGAACTTATTATATGTCAGTGCTTTACAAATATATAAAAATATTTATGTCAATAACACAGGTCAACACGGTGGTGTTTACAGTTCCTAGTAGCAGTTCTTGATCCATAATCGAAGACTAAAAATGGTCAGTTTGGTACATTTTTTTAATAAGTAGATAGGACAAGATCAGTCCTTACTGGAAATCTTTGATATGTTTCCATATCAGTTGACGGCTAAGCCCCTGAGGCTTCTCCAACAAAGACAAATCTGTCTCAGAACTTTTTGACCAACCCATGTATGGACTTCCACATACAGTAACTTAGCGTTAGCTCCTGTGAGAGACATGGTTGATGAAAAGCCTCCTACCAATCAGTTCTCCGATCATGAAGACCAGCGTCAGGATGCAGGCTGTGTACAGCTTCCTCCTGGCTGAACGTCTCAGGTCAGCGTCACTTTTGGACATGGTCTCTGTCTCCTGACACAGAGGCTCAGGGTTCCACAGATCCAGCACAGAAGACACCTCTTCACTGGACTCTGATGTGGAATCGGAGAGTTTGTCCTCCTGACAGCTGGTCCTGACAGGAGGAAGACTTTATTTACTCTCACATCTGGGTTCAAGCTCCCTGTGTCCAGGTCAAGTCAAAGAAGGACTTTCACAGTTGACCTTGAGACTTGACTAGCCTAATTTGCACAAACCAAGATGAAAACAAAATTTTAAGGACTTTTTCTGCTTTTTTTTTGTTGTTGTTGTTGTTGCTTTTTTTCAGGTACTCTGCTGTTTGAGTTAGCTTTTGGTAGCATCTAAACTAATCTTAACTAGTCTGTAGGCCAAGTTTTTGGAATATTTACCGTCTTTTCCTCTTACTGTAAAGGTTTTCTTGAGATTTCTGGGACTGTGTTTTGGCAAATCTTTTTTTTTTTCTGTCTAGCTTAGCATTTTGCTAACCTTTTGAAGTTCCTATAAAACCTGACTGAACTTCTGGCTTTTTCACAATAATTTCAGCTAATGTGAGCCACTATTGACCAACGAAATCATTAAAATTTGAACATGTAAATGTGCGTACCTCAGGTCAGATCACAGTCAGAGGCGCAGATAAAGCACCAGTTTAAATTAACCTTTCGTAGTTTAATTTCTTAAAACAAAAACAAAGTCAAGTTTGCTACAGTAGTTTTAGAAATTATTGAGAACTTAAAACTGAGGCATTAAACGAATCACTGAAAATCAAGCACCTTCAAGGATTTCCAACCCTCTCCCAGCACCTGACCTGCTATTGTACAGAAAAGTCTATTGTTGTTTTCTGGAGCTTTTGTGATGTTAAAACAAGTTTAACCTACCAGTCCAGAGGCTCCATACGAGGCTGGATCAGACATTGTTTCTCTGAATCTGACGGCTGCATTTTCCCAGATTAACACCACTTTCAGGAATCCTGAAAGTGTAGTGTGGGAATCTGGTAAACCTGCCACCTGTGAAAACTGCATGGACTGTAGGAAAAAAAACACGAAAGGCTCAGGGCTCTGAGGAGCCAACAGTTGACAGCAGGGTGGGCGGTTCTCTGCTGCCAACGCAGGTCTAATTTGTCAGAGGTGGAGCAAAACAGCAGCCAATGACAATCGACAGGAAACCAGAGACCATCACAATATTTTCACTTTTCATATTTATTAACCAAAATTGACCAAAACTATAAATAAAGTGGTAGACATAAATCTGGGAATTTTCAGAATGAGAAAGATTTAAAAAATAAATATTTCACCTTTCCCCCATTATTTATACGCGTGTATAAATACTACACCCACAAACATATAAAATCCAAACATAAATACAATAATTCAATGTTATGTATTAAATTATGCAAAAATCATCTGGATTTACATAAAAATATAATTTAAAAAAACACCTGAAAAACCAGAGGAACCCCTGTTTATAAGCAGCTGAGTACAAATTAACAGAACACTGGAAACATTTGGCAAAGAACAGAAGTGGCTGAGTTTCACACAGAGTCAATAAAAGTTCATCATGTTACATTACAACAAATACAGGTGAAATTGATCCTGGATCTGGATCAGCTCCAGAATCCAACACCTTGTTGTTCAGAAGTTTATCCCTGAAAAGACGTCTCTCCAGACTCTGGGATCAGGTCAGAGGATGGCACAGGCAGTATTTAAATTTCTTGGCTTAAAAAGTAATTTAATAACACAATCGTCCATTGTCTTTATTTCCAAACCAAACACAATCGTCCATTGTCTTTATTTCCTAGTTTTTTGTAAAATACTACTTCTATTACTACTAACTACTAACAATAATTATACTCTGACGTTACTGCATCAAACACTGATTTTAGACGTGGAGTCTGGAAAAACAAATTACTGATGTTTTTGAAGATAGCAGTTAGGGTAATTTGACACGTGGTGGTGCTGTTTTACAAACCTGAGATCAACAACAGTCGCTCTTTTTCTGGTTCCGTGTCTGTAAAAGCAGTAAAAATGTCGAGCTAAAACTCTGAGTGAAAAATGTTTTCATCACTGTGGCAACTTTAAATATGTCCACATTAACAACCACAGTTGTCCCTGATCGTTCAACATACATCATGACTCCACATTTAAATAATAAAAACCCTCCGTATGTCAACACACGACACTGGAATGAAGTGAAAGAAACTAAGACCAAACTAAAAGTCAAATCCCTGCAAGATCAGTGCAAACAAAAGTAGTTTGTCTCTAAGGAATGTTTCCTGCAAGAAGATATCGTTTTTTTTCTGATAATTCAAAGAACATTCTAGGCATAGACATTCATCTGTGGTCGATTCAGAAACGACCGGTACCAGCTGGTTTGTACGTCAGTTTGCATAAAAACTGAGGATTCATTTAATCTATTTCTTCACTTGAACAAACAGATGAGTTGTTTCCAGGAGGTAGAATCACAACTGGACTAGCGTCACCTGGAACAGAGGGAATAAATTTAAATTAAATTCATCATCATAAAAGGAAGGTGAAGAAAACTGTTGCACTGAAATATTTTATTTGTCAGATAAAATGAAAAATATGTTTAAAATGGTAAACAAAATACAGTGTTCAGCTGTCCCCAATATGGGGGGTGGGGGCCATTAGGGGACAAGGCAAATTCAGTTTTAATATTTTCCTTGTCCTGCAGTAGATTCACAATCCTCCAATATAAAGCAGTGGACTTTTAAAATCATATCAGTAAATGTGTTGATATGGGGGCGCCCCCTATTGATAGAGAGAGGAAGAACATTACCTGGGGATCCAACAGCAGAGGATGCAGAACTGGGCTGAATGATGATGACGTGATGTCCTTCTGTGAAAACAACAACAGAAACAGCTTTAACCTATAATTGTTTATTTGACTTTCAGCTCAAGGAGGGAAAGTGAAATACAACACAGTACTACAGTACTGACTATAACTGCTGACACGAAGTCAACAAAAAAATAAAAAACAATAAATAGATAGTCCATTCTGCTCAGGCAGCAGGGGAGCTACACCACGAGTAAAATTATATTTAAATAAAACCAAAGCCTTTACCTGCGGTTTCATCTGCAGCAGCAGAGGAGCTGGGCTGAATGATGATGACGTGATCTCCTGGGGTGAAACAACAGGCAACACTTTAATAGTAACAGTGACAGTAAACACTTTGAGTTTTAACATTATACTACTGGAAAACACCGTCTGTGGACACAGCTGTGAGCCAACATGAAGAAAACACTGTCGGTTTTCACCACAGCTACAGTGGTTGGTGCATTTCCTCCATTTAGTATCGTTTCCTGTCCTAGAGTCAGAGGTGTTCCTCATCTTCACCTTCTTCCATCTCTGCCTGCAGGATGTCTGGATCTATGTAGAAGGCGTCCTCCTCCTCCTCTGACTTCCCACACTTCCCGCAGCAGAAGCAGCAGCAACAGCAGCAGCAGAAGCAGGTGAAGAGACATCCAAACACCAACAGGGCCTGGACACAGAGGTAATTGAGGGAGAGTTCAACATCACTTCCAGAAGATTAGCCACGTCTGTCGCTAACTTTAAGATAATTCCAAGCTGTTACTGGAATATGTCATTATTAAGTTAATTATTTCAGCAATTTCTTTGGCCGATTTGAGTCATTTTATTTTTTAGTTAACGTTAGATGTTTAACTAATATTTTAATTTTTTTTTGGAAAATTCTTTGCAACAATTGTTATATATTTTGACTGACAAAATGTTTTAGTAACAAGGGGTTTGGTTCTTTTGGCTTTTTGTGAGGAATGGCAACATCTGTTTTTGCATTTTTTTCACCTAGTTTTCAGCTTTTTTTTCTTTGTTTGTGCTTGCCTTTCATTACCTGTATAACTTGCCCTCGTTTTGGCTACCTTTGAGTTAAGCTATACCAAATGTGTACGTTCACATCACCTTTGTCTGTCAAGCTGTCATCACGAATATAAAACTTGTGCTACGGAAGCCCAGATGGACATTTTTGTTGAAGTTCACGTCATACAAGAACATAAAAAAGTTGCTGTCTAAGGGTTTCTGTCTCTCACCTTGAACCAACACTTGCCCATCAGGAAGTGGTATTTGACGCTTTCGTCTCCAAACTGCTCCGCCACGTAGAGGCCCATGGAGCCGTACTCATCGTAGATCTTGCGTTTGTTCTCGTCATTGAGGGTGGTGTTGGCGTTGTTGATCTCCTTGAACTTCTCAGCAGCTTCTGGGTTGTCTGGGTTCTTGTCAGGATGGTACCGTAGGGCTAATTTCCTTGGAAACCAATGACAATAGTTGATGGTTGAATGTTAAAAAGAAAGACACAAAGGTTAGAGCTCATCCAGTTGAGGATTAGACGCCTTGATTTGTCTTTTTTGTTGTTTAAATAGGAGTGGAAAGATAATATTTGGTTTAATTATAATACTAATAATAATAATAAATTGCATCCCTTATTCGTCCCACAACAGGGAAATTTACAGTGGGAGTCTTTAAAATCAACACAGGCTGCCACACGGGGCGCCATTATACATGGTTGGTACCATGGTTGGTACCACTTTAATGCCTATGAAGCATTTTATAGCCTACAAGGGTGAGTTTGCCTGCCTTAGTTAACTATTAGCCTTTTATGTTGTAACCTTTGTATTTTCTGCTACACTTAGTTAACTATTAGCCTTTTATGAGCTTATACTAATCTCTTAATGTTGTAACCTTTGTATTTTCTGCTACCTATTAGATAAAGTCGACTGTTCACATTTTATTCTAAATAATAAGGCTAATTTTGACATTTAAAACAACAATGTTTTTTTATTTTCTGTGTAAGCTAATTTTATTTTAAATAATTAATAATTCTGTTACTTCAGAGGTGCATTGAACTAACTGAGTGTGGTGCATTCAGGTCCCACAGAGAAACAGCAGCCACTGGGCCTGTGACACAGAGAAAACATGAAGCTCCAAACACAGAACAGTTTTTGTTTCTGTTTTGTATTTAACCTGAAAAAGCACTGACACATCAGTGTTTCTGTCTTACTCAGGTCTTACTGCTTACATTAAACATTTCTTTACTTTCTTTTTTCACTGCTTACATACAGAAGGACAGCAGCTCTATAGTTCTATGTCTGAGTCGCTCACATATCTCTCCATCTCAAACATGCTTGACTACATTCAACTCTGCTTTTCAAGAAACGAGTGTGAAGTCACAAAAGTCATTCGAATCATATTTGATTCAATTCAATGCATGGGATACCTTTAAAAAAAAGAGTATCTCCTACATGAAAATCATGCAGGAGCAGCTGTAATACCAAGTATACCTCTAAAGTTCAATGTAGTGTTTATGATTCTGGTAGGTCTGTAAAGTAATCATCATACAGAACCATAAAACCCACATTCCTTGCCTCTGGTGTGTACCTGTAAGCCTTCTTTATCTCCTCCGGAGAAGCTCCCTTCTCCAGACCCAGGGCTTTGTACAGACTCTCTCCTGCTCTGGACATTTTCCTCTGAGGCTCCGCCGCTCCCTCCATGATTCCCAGTTTGACAGCTGAAACATTAAACCACTGACATTACTACCAGGGTGAGGTGACAATAAATGAAACTATTTATACTATTGACACGGAAGTGGAGTTAAAAAACACGATACAATTATATCAATGGATATATATATATATATGTATGTAAAAATATATACATATATAAAAATATGTGAATATACATATGGTATTCTATATCATCATGGACGTAAACACATAATATCGTAGAGAATTAAACATATTTTTGCCTCGTGTTGAACGAATGTCACCTGACAGTGACAGCTCTGAGTCTCACTGAGTTACTGTAAACTACACTCACTGGATGAACAGAAGCCGGTGTTTTGGTTAAAATCATAGAGTCCGAGAATTCGTTTCTCCTCCTGTTTCCTGAAACTTCGTCCGAGTCCCACCTGGACCACGTCGCTGTTATTGCCGTACCTTCTCGTGGTTACATTAGGAGCCCCGTTCAGCTGAAACTGCTTTAAAACAAACTTCCTCGAACTTTCTTATAGTCTTCCTTTCCGGGCGCCTCCTGCTTCTTCTTCTTCTTCGTTGGTGTTTTACTGAGCTTGACATTCGCAGTGTTAAATGACTGCCTCCTAGAGTTGACGGACATTCTTCCAGTTCTGCTGATAGGTCACCTGTCAGTCGGTGTTTTATTAAGGCTCATTCCCTTGTTTTTTCCACGTAAACAAAAACAACAAAGAAGTTAGGTAGTCGTTAGTTTGTCAATAAGCTAGCTTCTTTAGCCAAATGTTTAAAATATCCCAACCGTCTCCTCTGTCCCCTTTTCTTCCCCGTTTTAGTGGCTTTAAAATAAATATTAAATGCAAACTATTTTAGGCAAATAAAAAAGGCATAATGTAATCATTTTTTTCCTTGGCTTCTTCTACAGAGTCCTGTATTTAAGATACGGCTAGCTAGCAAGTGTCGTTTAGTTAGTGGTTTAGTCGGTTTAGAAAAACTACTGTAGGAAGGTATTAAACTGGGTAATAAGTCATTACTGCCACCTTTTTATTTAAATCTATTTCTAATAAACAATATATCATCTACAACATATGTTCTTTCATTAATAGTTTCCTTCATATTGTTATTGTTATTATTATTATTATTATTACTCCTTCAGCTCCTTTACTAGTTACTAGTTAGACAGTTGACTATATAAAGCCTAGCTTTAAAGCTGGGGTTCTTCAACTAGTTTTTTATCGTGTATGTGTGTGCTTTTTTGTGGTATCTGGTAAACAGTCTAGTATTTCCTTGTTAGGAATAACATATCTTTTATTTACTGTACTCAGCTGAACAAGGTACTCCTTTGCTGTGGTATTTTAATTCTGCTCATACTGCTGTTTTTTGGAGCGCCAATTATTACTGCAAAAGGTATGCAGTGTTAAAAGGATGGAGAACCACTGCCTTAAACTAGTATCAACCTGTCATCCAGACTGTTAGCTGGTTCATAAATATGCAGCACTTATGGTATCACTGGTATTGTATTCACACCTGGTTTGCGCTATAAACTCTGATCTGTTTGTCTGTGTTTTGTACTGTAGTGTCCAACCTCCAGTGGCCATGTATGGTACAGCGGCCAGTGAGCACAATTGATGATGAAGGTCACCTGCCGGTGGTGCTCCATTTGAATGAATTCTCCTCATCTTCCACAGGCTGTTAGCATCTACATGACAGCTGATGCGTCTCAGTAATTTCAGGGTTTGGAGCGTGATGAGTGAGAAGTGGCACAGTGTGGGAGTGAGGAGAAGGAGCGTGTGCTCCAATCACGGCTGAGCCTCTTTAAACCCAGGCTGCTCTCCACAATCCCTGACTGTGGGTATTCTACTCCAGGGAACACAGAGTAGTATATATAGTACACTGGAGCTCAGGCCTACTTTTAAACTGCTTATACCAATATATTGTCACTACCACTGCACATATACAGTACCTGTACTTTTCCCATCAGTTTACTGAACAGTCGTGTTATATATA